AACAACAACAAAAAAAAAAAAAAAAAAAAAAAAAAAAAAAAAAAATATGAAGGAATTTGAATTTTAGAAAGTTGGGAAGCAAGGGAGTCTCTTGGCAGTTGAAAAATTTAAGAACACTAAACATGTGTGTGTCATCTGTCTTATAAATGTACACCATTTATTAATTTTAAACTTTTAACTCAAAATTACAATCAATAAATAATTTAAATATCCATTAATTAAGTTCATCAAACTTAATTTAATATTTTAGCAGATAATTAGGATAAATTTTTGAACATCAATACATGTATTTGTAATTGGTGAGTTTTAATAGAGGTATTCAATTCTGGAGTTTGTACATTAATTAAAATTAAATTTGTACAAAGCTATACTTGTAATTGATATCATGTTGTTTAAAAGGATGATGATATCGTGAATGTGCACGTAATGGATTACAAATAGACATATTCACCAAACAAACCAATTAGGGTTAAATGGTTTGTTAAAAATGCTAATACAAATTTGAATAAAAATGAATTTAGAAACACATGGCAGTGAAATATGTTGTTATCAATGCATTGAAATGGGTTCGAATAATTTATTAATGCCATCAAAGGCCACTTGTTTGCTTTGGAGTTCGCAACAAAAACTAACCCATTCGCCCATCACACCACACACTCTTAGCTTAGGGAAAACGATGGTATGCTTTTCATAAAGCCTTGACCTTTCTTGTTATCTTCAATTCTCACAAAAGCCCATAAGGGTTGTTGAGTGCGCAGAATTTCTGGGTGGAATATCATGAGTTCTTAACCCAAAATTCCCTCAAAAACATGATCATCATTGCAATAAACAACTGCTACCCAATCACACATAGAGAGAGAGAGAGAGAGAGAGAGAGAGAGAGAGATTTTGATTTGAACAGAAAATTTGTTTTTCGATTCTTTTTTTACATTGGCTTACTCAGAAAAAGGATGATATGATCATTATTTTGTTTGCTTGCGAGGAAAAAAAATAAAATAAAACCAAGAGCTTTTAATTAATCAATCCTGTTGGGACCATTGCTTATGACCAGCAACCCACTTGGGGCACTTGGGGCTGAAATAACAACCCACCACTCTGGAGTTCAATAGCTCAACAATGGGTTGAAACTTCACACACCTTGGGGTTTTGTACTGATTTATAGAAGCTCCCATGCTTATGGCATAATCCATGAGCTTGTCGAACGTTCCACTCTCCACCACCTTGATCTCCAGTGGTCCGATCGACTTATCGGCCACTCGCCCTTGTCGGTATACGCTGTTCAGTGACTCCTCGATCGTAAGACAACAATCTTCCAACACAGAGGGCGGCACCGGAGTTGCCGAGCCACCCTTCTGATTCAGCTCCCAATACAGCACGTAGTGCCCCGGAATTGTTGATGTGTTGGCATGGCTTGTGTACTCAGCCAATGTTGCCTCGAATGGCACCAAATGGTTCACCGACTTTTTCACTGCGTTTTGTAGCTCCACTTCGTCTGTCTTATCCGAATCAATGCTTAGAACCACGTTCTTCCTGCAAATGAAGTTGAATTGTGGAGCTTTGTTTTTGAATCCTGCCACTCTTAGGATATCGCCGACTCGATAACGATATAAGCCTGTTCAATTTCAAACCCCATGTCACATGTGTTAGAAATCACGATTCTCCCCAATGGTATGATATTATCCACTTATAAACTCATGATCATTCTCTAAATTTTGGAACAACCTCTCAACAAAATAAATAAATAAATAAGAGAGAAAAATAATTAAATGGGTTAATTACCGGCGTAAGTAGTGACAACGAGCTCATATTCTTTGCCGAGTTCGACATCGGTGAGATCAACAAGTTGTTGATCGTCGAGAGATTCGTCGTTGTTGGAGGTTCTTTGAACAGGAAGGAACTCAAAATAGGCCATGGAAGGGATGAGTGTATAAGCAACTTCACTTGGTTTACAAAGAGGGTTAAGATTGACGCCAAAATAGCACTCGGAAGAAGCATACATAGTACACACCAAGGGCAGCCCATTGCTATAATAATCAAGCGTGCCAATGTACTGTGACATTGTGCCCGTAACGATCACATCCAAATATTTGGTGTTGGGCCACAGCCTTGTAATAATTCCCTTCCAAAACCCTTTGCAGCATTGTTCGTGAATAAAATCAGCCAGCTCTGGATCAGGCCTACGCAGGACTAACATGACCGCATCGCGAACTGCCTGGTCCGTGATTTGGGAATTGAGCGTCCCGGTCCGGATGTCGTGGCAGAGAAGTTGCCAGTGCTTTTCAAGAAAGCGAATGGCACGGATGAAGCCGGAGGCGAAGACGGCGCCGACGCGGAGGACGTCGAGACGGTAGCAGAGGCCGCAGAGCAATTGAGCGTAGATGCTTTGGTAGGCGTCAGGGCAAAGAATGGCTTCATTGGGGCTTGTGTAATTGGTGTAAGGATCATAAGGGCGGTTCTTAAAGTGGGAGCTTTTGTAGTAGCTGGTTAAAACAGGGCGAGCGAGTAGGCCACCAGGGGTTCTGGCTTCCGCTTTGACGAATAAAAAGTACATTCCTTTGCCCTTTTCCAAGCCCGGAACGAATTGGGTCATGATAGGCATCAACAAACTATACAAAAGTGAGCGTCTTTCGAGCTCCTCTTCGATGGTGGGCATCAGCTTTCTCTCGCCGCCGGAAGTGCCAGAGCTGCAAAATCAAAATCAAAACCAAAAGGTGAGACCCATTATGAGATTGAGTGGATATTTGAGAAGAAGAGAGGTATGGACCTTGTTAAAAACTCAGAGATGGGGGAGGAGCATAGAATAGGGGAGGTGTCGCCATTAGCGATGCGGGAGATGAAGGGTTGGATGTGGTCGTAAGAGACGAGGGGGATGGAGGATTTGAAGGTGTCGGGGGAAGGGCGGCCATGGAGGGAGAGATACTCGGAGGTGGCATTGCGGGAGAGGATTTGGGAGAGGACTTGGCGTTGGACAAGATCGGCGTTGGTGGTCACATCTTCAATGAATTGGAGAATGGCGTTGTTTTTTTGAACAAGGTTGTAATTGGGGCTTACAGAGGTTGCTGTTTTGGGGGCTTCAGGCATTTTGGTTTGGGAATGAATGAATGAATGAATGTATGAATGAATTTGAGTGGAATTTGTTAGAGAGGGGTTGTGCTGTGCGTGTTGGGGGGATAAACAATGGAACGAGTATGGATATTTATAGAGCAACACAAAGGGCAGCTGCGAGTTAGAAACCAAACAAGCATTACATGAGGGGCACATTCGTAAATCCATATTCATTCCCATCTTTCTTTTCTTCTCTCTTCTATTTCTTTCAACTTCAATTATTCATGCCATACACGTAAGATATTACTAATAACTATCTATTAATAATATAATTTTTTATTTTAAAATCATCATATTCTTGTGGCGAGAAATAAAAATTAAATAAACGAAACAGACAACAACTCCAGAAATTCCATACTAGATTTGAGAGTAAAATAAAAGAAATTATTTTTTTGGTTAGTAGTAAAAAAAAAGAAAAAGAAAATCAAACCGGCAGTACCCGGTAAACACGCGGTGATTGTACTGGTTACATGCGTGCTTGTAACGCGGTGTCGTAGGAAATACCGGCAGCGATTTCATTATTTGTGTTTAACGCTGGCGTTTCTCTGTGTTTTCCCGTTAGCCGGTAACTTCAAAAGAGAAGTTGGGGGGGGGGGGGGGGGGGGAGTGAGGTTGTTATTTAAATGAATAAAATGCAGAATGCGGAATATCGCGAGATTTGGAGTCAATGAAACGCGAGAAAATGTAGAAGAATGAAGGAGAGAGAATAATAGTATGCGTTGTTGTGTACGGTAGTTAACTGGGGAGTTCCTTGTTGAAGTATCTATGTGGGACCAGCCAGCTGGCTACCTAACTTCTAACGTTGACACGTGCACGATTTTTTGAAAACGCCAAGACTGTGACTTCACGGTTCCCCCGCCTCCACTCAACTAAATCGTCCCATTTCCTCGCTAATACATCGCCCTTCTTAAGCTCTTCCCCGAATTAACGCCCATCATTCATTTTGGCTCTTTTTTTTTATTTTCTTAATTAAAGTTCTTATTTATTAATTAAGAAAATTAAAAAATCAATTTTTTTTTTAATTTTTCTATTTAATCATGGATTAATCTTTTGTGAATTAAATCGTTACGATTAGGTTTGTTATTGGTTCTAGAAGGTCCGATACTGAAGCTTCTAGAACTCAAAAAGAAATGTAATCAATCTTCTCCAAGTATCATTTATTTCTCTATTTTTTTTCTTAAAAATAATTTAATACGTTGTTGTAGATGGTTCTAAAAGTGTAGGAAATGAAAGCTTATTGATGCCTTATCTAATTTATTTATGTGTTCATGCTATAGATAAAGTTGCTTCAATTAATTGTTTTAATTTGGTGTAAATTGTATATTTATATACTATGTAAGATTAAAAAAAAAATTCTATTTAATCTAAGCTCATTATTATATCTTAAACGCGACATTTACCTTAATGTCCATGCAAAATTTAGTTTAATTGAAATCTTATTATAAATGCAACATCAATTTGTCATTTATCACTCAGGTATAAATACAAGAGAAAGGAAGGAAAAACAATTCTGAACTAAACACCCTATATTAACCTATGGTTTATTAATGCGATTAGAATTCAACCTATGTTATGAATGCAAATGAAATTTAACCTATAATAACCTATACTACGAACGAAAAACAACTATCCTATGCATGTGCCACGGTCACGGGATGTGCGATGCTGCCGTCGGTCTCACATAGACGTCTTGCCTCTATCTAAAAATGTAGTAGCACGACGACCTTTATCTAAAAAATGTAGTAGCATGAGGCTTGAGTATTTCTAGAATACTCAGTAAGTGGCTCCCTATCGGAGTTATGCAACAAGAACATGCAATATGCTATGACAGGACCTATCATACCAATCTATTTTTCCTACGACACTAATTCTAATTGAGCAGCTTGGATGTGTACCATATACTCTACACAGCCTATACGTGCGAGCATGGACTCACCAGTCATTTGCACACCGCTAGCCTCTTTTCTTGTCGGGCTAGCCTTCTTTAGTAACTCAACTTTTGCCGGACACCCATTAGAATTAGTAACCATCACGGCAGCATTATGTAAAACATAACAATACTTCGCCTGCCTAATGGATGTACGCGTCCGTACCCTCGTGATGGAATAGGGGCATCCCCTAATGCATGAACACACATAATGTATGGGGTCCCAACATTTTTCCATTTTCAACATTATTAAATAGAACCCCGCAATCATTTTTCATGCATATCATATTGTTTCTCATTTTTTCAGTCTTCACATCATACATAACTCTAACGGGATTTCATGTCATACATATCATGTTGTTTATATACAATTTAAAAAACACAGAAAATCATCTAAAGATCACATAAACATTCTAAGCACAACACATCACATCACGTTATATCGCAACACATCACATCACATTATATCACACATTAAGTCATTTCAGCACAACGCATTACATCACATTATATTTCACATCAAGTCATTTAAAAAACAATCTACATTCACCTTGCAAACTTTTACGTATTAAATCGTAACAGTCTAACATACAATTATGACATCTGCGGATCCATGGACATGTGCTAACATATAACACACAATTGCATAACCTACGATGGTAGAGTCATTTACTTGGTAGACCTTAGCCGAAGTACTCCCTAAAATATATATACGTAAGCTGGTAGCCATTTACTTTGATGGGCATGGAAGAAAAATTGTAAACAATGGGAATGGAATTGGAATTGGGACGATAGATTTTAAAGTGGAAGAGGGATATTAAGGGTAGTGGATTGTATGAGGATGAAAGGTACACTATTTATACATATTTATCTTTTCTATTTTTTTATCAGAAATTGTAAAAATTCAGTCTTAAAATTAATTAGGCAAAAGTACACCACTCATTTATTATTATTATTACTATATTTTTTTTAATCCTTACATATATAGTATCACCACTTTTTAACTTACATATAAATTTTTAGTATCAAATTGAAAAGTGGTAAAGACATAAAATTGAAATTAAAAATTTAAGGTTGATTTTCGATTATGAACATGTTTGTGTTCGGTTTGGTTTGAATAAATGAAAATTTTGTTATTTTCGTTGGTTTATGAGTTTCCTAAAACTATATTAATTGAATCTAACTTAAATTTATTATCAATTTTTTTATTCCAATGTAACTATATACATACATATATTTATTTTATTTTGATTTAATTTGATTATTTTTAGTATTTGTTCTCTAACCCCACTTAAACATGGTTTTTAACTATTTGGAATAGTATTTTTCAAAATAGTTACAAATTTGTAATAATGTTAGAAAATAAATAAATAGATGTTTATCCGTAAATGTTTGAAAATAAAAATAAAATGGGATTGAGCTAGGTTCATTATTTAATAAGAATGGTTTGGATTGAAGAATTTTAGCTCATGACATCTATTGTGTAAATGTTTGAGGATGTAAGGTAGACAATATCACACTATTGTGTAAATATTCTAATCGAAAACTAATCTCCCAGCTAATTTAGCTCATGACATCTACTCTTTCTTTTTTTGTAAAGTTGGTTTTATATTTTTGGGTGAAAGATATTTTGATGCATCATAGGACATGCAAACAAAAGTGCTTCATTTGGAAATGTCGGCTACTTCCCATTTCCAATCTTTAAAATAAATCATTTACCCACCATTTAAATAGTTACAAATTTTAGTTAGTATTTAAATACTCAAACCGGGTTTTACTTATTTTTCTAGAGGTAAAGGTAAAACACCCATATACCAATGACAACGTCCACATGCATTTTTGTGTGTCATCAAGTTACTTCTCTGTTCTCATCAGTACGGACACGTATTTTATGATTTATGACATTTATATTCGCCATGTTGTTATGCGGGCTCTTTCCCTCCGTGGCATCCAACCACACGTTAAGAAATGCTAGCCCAACGAGCTAGGCCCAAGGGGTACGTGAGCTCGCTTGGTGGACTCATGTTCGTGTGACTGCCATAACACTGTTTTCATGACCATTACGTGTGCTTGCATATCCCGACCCCAACAGTGGGGTTTCTTAAAATTCTCAAGCAACATGCTACTCTGATTTTTCAGGTAAAGACAAGGCAGCTCTCTCCAGATGACGACGTTGTGATAAAGGTCATGAAAACAGTGTTAGGGTAGTCACATTTATGGTTATTTTGTATCACTCAAGTTAGATCGGGACATTGTTTTATTTGTTTTTTTTTTAATTTTAAAGCTTTTATTACCGACGTTCATCTTTCAAAAAATTTAAATAAACATTTATAATGTCATAACACTTGCTATTTAGTTGATGTGTAAATATGAATTTTAGCATGGTATATTTACTTTGTGTTCATAACACTTGCTATCTGTTGTATTCTCTTTTTTCCCTTCCCTAAATTCTATAAATGAACTTGTAGGAGTGGAGAACTCGAGTTTGGTAGAGGATCAATACAACCAAAGTTACCATTTCTTTTAATAAATGTCACGTTTGGTCTGTTTTTTTTCCTTTTAAAAATTATCAAAACGACAAAATTTTAAGATATAACAAATCAATAAATAATTACATATAATAATCATATAATAAACCAATAATTCAATATATAGTAAATAATAAAAATAATTTGGCTTGGTTCATGCACATAGTACAAATTGAAACAAATGTACTTCATTAAAATATCTCGTTTAAAATTAATTTCTTGTATAACGACCAATTTCATTATTAATACATGAATTCATACCATAACCTAATCAATTCTTACCCTATACTAAAATTAGAAATTTGTATTCAACTCCCTGTCTAAAATTCATATTAAAGTTTGTGACATAATGACGTTACTTACTTCTCGCTTCTAAGAGTGAAAACTATCTCTACATAACAACACAGGCCATTTTAGCATGATTTATTCCCACTCACATACTTTGTAAGAAAATTCTCAGAAAACTACACGATATACAATTTCTCAAAGTAAAACACACTAAACTTTGGTATTTTATGATTGATTACATTATTAATATATTTTTTCCAGCTGTTTTACCCTCAAATTGCTTTCATTTGGATGTGGTATCCTTCCA